TTGCATTTTTCAGGACCTAGCATCGGGGAAGATGATTGGCAGTGCTAGGGAGGAAGATGGACTCTATATCTTTGATGAAGGGACTCAATCAAGTAAAAGAGGTCCAAGAAATGCTTGTCTGCAAACTGTTTCTTTTTCAAATAATAAGGAGTTATATTTGCTTCACTATAGACTAGGACACCCTAATTTCTATTACCTAAAAAGGATGTTTCCTCAATTGTTTCTGAATAAAGATATTTCTTTGCTTCAGTGTGATATGTGTGCACTTGCAAAACATCATAAAAACTCTTATCTTCCCCACAGTTATAAACCTACCAGTCCTTTTACTTTGGTACATAGTGACATTTGGGGGGCATCTAGAGTACCAACTTTAAAGGGAAAGAGATGGTTTGTAACTATTATTGATGATCATACACGGGTCACTTGGGTTTTTTTGCTTAAAGAAAAATCTGAAGTTGAGAAAGTATTTAGGGATTTTTATGCTATGGTCCAAACTCAATTCAATACCAAAATTAAAATGGTAAGAAGTGATAATGGCCGTGAATATTTTTCTCAAAACCTGAACACTTTTTTTGCTGAAAAAGGCATAATCCATCAAAGCTCTTGTATCAATACACCAGCTCAGAATGGAATTGCAGAGAGAAAAAACAAACATTTACTTGAAGTCACTCGTGCACTTATGTTTTCTACAAACATACCAAAATATCTTTGGGGAGAGGCTGTATTACATGCTTCTTACTTAATTAACCGTATGCCATCAAAAGTTTTAGGATTTAAAAGTCCTATCAATTCATTGCAGCATTACTTTCCTACAACTAGACTGGTTAATACTCTTCCCCTAAAAATTTTTGGTTGCACAGTGTTTATAAAAAACCCTGATAAAACTGCAAGTAAATTTGATCACAGAGGAACAAAGTGTGTATTTCTAGGTGTTGCTTCCACTCAAAAAGGGTATAAATGTTTTGATCCTATAACCAGGAAAATGTTTGTTACTCTAGACATTTTTTTTGTGGAAGAACAGCCTTTTTTTGATACACATCTTCAGGGGGAGAATTTAAGAGAAGATGTTCAAACTTTACCACATATCCATGAAAACCTTAATTTTCTTGATATTAATCTAGATGATATTACATCTGAAAATGATCAAGGAATAACAAATAATGAAATAAATACACCTGAACCAATTGAAAAAGAACAACAGACAAGTCAGTTCTTTGGCAAAGTTTATGAGAGAAGAATCCAAAATCAAAGAGTAGAGGAAGTCCAAGAACCTGCCACTGTCCATGATTCTGACTCAATGACAAGGAGTGAAAAAGGTAATACTTCTAGTCAGCTTGACCTCCCAATTGCCCTCAGAAAAGAAAGAAGAACATGTGTTAAATACCCTATCTCAAACCATGTCTATTATTCTAAATTATCCTCATCCTTTGCAACATTTACTTCTAGTGTTTCTTCTATTTCTATTCCTTCAACTATACAGGATGCTCTATCTAAACCTGAGTGGAAGAAAGCTGTTTTGGAGGAGATGGAGGCTCTTGAAAAGAATCAGACATGGAAACTTGTAGAGTTACCTAAAAACAAACCAACTGTTGGTTGCAGGTGGATTTTCACTCCTAAGTTCAAAGCAGATGGAAGTCTGGAGAGGTATAAGGCGAGGTTAGTTGTTAAGGGGTACACACAGACCTATGGCATTGACTACACAGAAACCTTTGCACCAGTTGCAAAGTTGAACACTGTAAGAATTCTCTTATCTCTTGCTGCTAATCTAGACTGGCCACTACAACAGTTGGATGTAAAGAATGCTTTTTTAAATGGAAAGCTTGAAGAAGAAGTGTATATGAAACCTCCTCCTGGATTTGAGAATAAGTATGGTGCAAAGGTATGCAAATTAGAGAAAGCTCTATATGGACTTAAACAGTCTCCAAGAGCCTGGTTTGACAGATTCACAAAATTTGTTAAGAAACAAGGATTCAATCAGGCTCAATCTGATCATACATTATTCATGAAGTTTTCAGACAAGGGGGAGATTGCAATACTGATAGTCTATGTAGATGATATTATCCTCACAGGAAATTATCATACAGAGACTAAGAATTTAAAAGAAAAGCTTGCCCATGAATTTGAAGTAAAAGACCTAGGAGATTTAAAATACTTTCTGGGAATGGAGATAGCTAGATCAAAAAAGGGTATTGTTGTCTCACAAAGGAAGTATATCTTAGATCTTCTGCAGGAAACTGGGATGAGTGCATGCAAACCAGCAGACACTCCAATTGATCCAGGTCAGAAGTTGGGAGATGTCAAAGAGGGAATCCCAGTTGATATTCACCAATATCAAAGATTAGTGGGAAGACTAATATATCTGGCACATACAAGGCCAGATATTGCATTTGCAGTAAGCATGGTGAGCCAGTTTATGCATAATCCTTTCCAGGAACATCTTGATGCTACCTACAGAATTCTAAGGTACCTGAAGAGCTGCCCAGGGAAAGGATTATTTTTCAAAAAGGGAATCAGTAGAACAATTGAAGCCTATACTGATGCAGATTATGCTGGCTCCATATCTGACAGGAGGTCTACTTCTGGGTATTGTACCTATGTATGGGGAAACTTAGTAACTTGGAGAAGTAAGAAACAAAATGTGGTTGCTAGAAGTAGTGCAGAATCAGAATTCAGATCTATGGCCAATGGAATATGTGAATTACTCTGGATCAAGAGAGTAATGGCAGAACTGAAGATGGAGATGGAACTGCCTATGAAGTTGTATTGTGATAATAAAGCAGCTATAAGCATTGCTCATAATCCTGTACTACATGATCGAACTAAGCATATTGAAGTGGACAGGCACTTCATTAAGGAGAAGATAGAGGCTGGAATTATTTGCACACCATTTGTATCTACCAAAGACCAAACAGCTGACATCCTCACCAAAGGGTTATTTAAACCTGTGTTCGAGCTGCTTATAAACAAGTTGGGAATGTATGATATATATTCACCAACTTGAGGGGGAGTGTAGAAAATGTTACATTATTGTAGAAAATGTTACATGATTTAATTTTTTGTGTACTTAGTTAGCCGAATGGATTAGAATACTAGCTGTAAATTAGAGATAATCACGTAGCAATCAAGATCCTATTTTTTAGGATCTAAATTAGCTGATTAGTTGCTTGTATATTTGTATAAATACCCTGGCCGATTGGCATTATTATTCAAGGAAATTATATTCCTAAAACCTACATATGCCCACACATCCAATGCAGCATGCGCATCTCTGCCACACTCATCTTTTGAATGTGACATTGTTTCACCGCCCAACACTCCGTGCCATACAGTAATGCAGGCCTAATTGATGTCCTATAAAATTTACCCTTCAGTCTAGTCGGCATACCTCGACCGCATAGAAATCCTGACGCCCTCTTCCACTTCATCCACCCTGTTCTGATTCTATGGGATACATCTCCATCTAACTCACCGTCCTTCTGAATTATGGAGCCCAAGTAACGGAACATATCGCTGACCGATATCTCCTTACCATCTAAAGTAATTCCGTTGTTACCACTGCTTCTACCTCCACCAAACTTGCACTCCATGTACTCTGTCTTGCTCTACTTAGTCTGAAACCCTTGTTCTCCAATGTTTGTCGCCATACTTCCAACTTTGCTTTAACCCCTGATTGTGTCTCATCAATCAATACAATATCGTCGTCAAACATCATGCACCACGGTATATCGTCTTGAATTGACTTTGTAAGTTCATCCATGACTATGGCAAATAAAAAAGGGCTCAGAACTGATCCTTGGTGCACTCCGATAGTAATAGGGAACTCCGCAGTCCTCTCTACACTAGTACAGACACTTGTAGTACAACCTCATTTATATCCATGATGATGCTGATATACTTGCGTGAAATGCCTTTTGTAGTTAAGGCCCACCAAAGAACTTCTCGAGGTACCCTATCATATGCCTTTTCAAGTCAATGAACACTAAATGCAAATCCTTATGAGTGAATAACCTCAGTTGTTGAGCGAATAGGTATAAAACCGAATTGATTCTCTGAAATCTTCATTGTTCTTTGAAGTCTTTGCTCAATCACTCGCTCCTAAAGTTTCATGGTATGACTCATAAGCTTAATCCCTCGATAGTTGGCACATTCTTGTACATCACCTTTATTCTTAAATAAGGGAATAAGAGTACTCTTTCTCCAATTCGTTGCCATCTTGTTGTTTCTCCAAATCATGTTGAAGAAATTTGTTAACCACCCGATGCCTCTCTCTCCCAAACTTCTCCAAGCCTCGATCGATATGCCATCTGGACCCACTGCTTTCTTCTGCTCCATCTTCCTCAGAGTCTCTTTAACTTCCGTTGGTTGGATCCTTCTCACAAAATCACGATTTACCATACAATCCGGTATGGTCAAATCACCGATATCTTGCACTTTGTTCCCGTTGAACAATGTATCAAAGTATGACCTCCACCTCTCTTTTATCTCTTTGTCCTCCATTAACATCCTTTGATCGACATCCTTCACACACTTAACTTTTCTGATATCTTGAGTCATGCGATCACGAAGACGAGCAAGTCTATAGATATCTTGTTCTCCTTCCTTAGAGTCCAATTTTTCATACAACTCCTTGTTCGCTTTCCCTTGTGCTTACTTTACGGCTTTATTTGCTTGTCTTCTAGCCTCCTTGTATGCTTCTATGTTCTCATCACTCCGACTTGTCCCCACCATTTTGTAGCAATCTCTTTTGTTCTTTATGGCTTGTTTCACCTCATCATTCCACCAAGACGTGTCCTTTTTGGGTGGCAGATCTCCTTTAGATTCTCCAAGTACCTCCTTTGCCACTTTGTTACTGGTCAGCTCCATTGATAACCACGCATCCTCCACATGTGTTCCATTATCAATACGCCATACATCTTTACCGAACATTTTGTGTGTAAAGCTTTGTTCAAGATCCCCTCAAGCCTCCACCACTTTATCTTTGGCTCCACTTTTTTTTTTTTTTTAATATCAACTTAAGTTCAAAACTGGATCATAACCAATATCTAGAACTCTAGAAGCTTGTCAAACCAGCCAAACCTCATCCAATTAATAAAACAAACTTCATAACATGAAGTTATAAGAAAACCCAACAGAACCACCCCTTAACGGTTGGCCTTTGCAACTCTCTCAATCTCATCTTTCTTCTTGATGGCATAGCTGTTAGAAGAACCCTTAGCAGCATTGATGAGTTCATCGGCAAGGCACTCGGCAATGGTTTTGATGTTCCTGAAGGCACTTTGACGTGCACCAGAGGTCAACAAATATATTGCCTGGTTGACACGGCGAAGAGGTGAGATATCAACAGCTTGACGTCTAACAACACCAGCTGATCCGATACGTGTAGCATCTTCTCGTGGACCACTGTTGATAACAGCATCCACGATGACTTGGATTGGGTTCTGGTCTGTCAGCAAATGGATTATCTCCATTGCATGTTTGACGATTCGGACAGCCATTAGCTTCTTACCATTGTTCCTTCCGTGCATCATTAGAGAGTTAACCAACCTCTCCACAATTGGGCACTGTGCCTTCCTAAACCTCTTTGCTTGATACCTTCCAGCAGTGTGGGGAGTATATGTAGGATGCTTGGCAGCAGTAGCAGTGATGTAATCATCAACTGATAAATCAGTTACCTGGACGTCATCGTAGGTCCACCGATTGAACAGCATGATCCCAGACGAAGATTTCTCTTCCGGGGGAATCTGGGCGGCTAATTCCATTACTTCAGCCATCTTGCCTTCTCTGTTTTCCTCCCTCTCTACCGATATCCCTCTGGCTTTCTATCGCCCGGTTGCTATCTTTGGCTCCACTTGTTGCTTAACTTGTCTTCTATGGTTCTTACCTCGAAAGTCAAGCACAAGCATCCTATGCGGAGTGACAAAACTCTCACCTGGGATAACCTTACAATCGGTGTAGCTAGTTCTCCAAGTAGTCAGTACTAAGAAGTAGTCAATTTGGGTACTATTAGCTCCACTTCTATAGGTTACAAGGTGAGAGTCTCTTTTCCTAAACCAAATGTTCATTATAGCCAACTCATACGTCGAGGCAAAATCCAAAATGTTCTTTCCCGCTTCATTTCTAGTGCCAAAACCATGTCCGCATACGAGTAAATTTATAATAGCTAACAGTTATCCCACACTGCCCGCATATGAAAATACAAATCACCTGTATAGGGTTGTGGGCTACTCCTAGTGTGTTGATCTTTTAGGATGGAAATTGACTGGCTTGAAGAACATCTGGTTGCAAAGAGATGCACAACGATCTAAGGTTTAGACTACACCAACACCTTTTCTCATGACACCAAGTCTTAATACTATATTCTAGTGGGACATGGATTTAATTCCCCTTCGTAGCAGGAAATGACTTGTTGGATGCCGGTGGATATATACGGTTAAAGTTGGTCCAGATGGGAAACTGACTGGCTTAAAGAACGTCTGGTTGCAAATGGATACATAGAAAAGTAAGGTATAGACTACACCGATGCCTTTTCTCCTCTAACATAGATACACATTAGGTCATTTGATCTTATCCATGGGCACAATGAGCCCTTGGCCGTTATATCAATTGGACAATAAAAATGCATTTCCTATGTTGATTTACTTGTGGAGGTTTACATGGAGCAATTATCTGGTTTTGTTGCTTAGGGGAGCCTTGTTTAGGGCGCAGATTACGCTATTCTTTATATAAACAATCTCCTCATGCATGATTCGGGAGGTTTAGTGTTGTAGTTCGCGGATTTGGCAATGACTTGGAATGATGTTGATCATTTAATATTCTTTGGACATTCAAGAGGAAATAAATGTATCTTGCTAGTAGTATATGTGTTGATGACATTGTTATTTCACGTAATGATGATCAAGGAATTCATCATCATCATTATCCCAGTGTCACAAAGGTTCCCACCTACGGTGGGGTAAGAGGGGGTCAGATGTACGCAGTCTTGCCCCTGTATTAAAGCACAAAGAGATTATTTCCGGATGACCCATAGTGGAAATCGTCACAGACAAAGAAGCGTCACAAACAGTTTAGTGAGCCTTTATTCCATCATATTTCCAAGTCAAAAAATAGTGAGTCTTTGCTCCATTGCAAATGATAGAAATTAGGAAGAAGTAAAATACCTGACACCATCTTGCTTTATATTTGACTCTCTGTAGTCTGTACAAATCCATAGATGGAATTTGCCACACTTCTTGCAGTAAATCTACTGATTCTTTTGAGAAGCAGTTTGCCAACTCAAAGAATATCTCTTTAGCAAATTCCAAAAAGATTTGGGGATACTAAAATACTGTCTTAGTGTTGAGGTCGCCCAATCCAGAAACGGGACCGCCCTCTCTCAAAAGAAATATGCATTTGACATTCTTAAAGAATCAAGTATGACAAAGTGCAGGCCGGTGGAAACACCAATGGATCCAAGTGTCAAACTCTTATGAGATCAGGGTGACCTTTGGCCTAATAAGGAGGGATATAGAAGGCTGATTGGAATGTTGAATTGTCTTACAATCACGAGATCAGATATTTCATTTGCGGTAAGTATACTAAGTCAATTTATTGATAAGCCATGTGATGGACATTGGGATGTAGCTATCCGAGTCTTGATGTCACATACATAAACATTAGGGCAAGGATTGCTCTTCGAAGATCGAGGTCACTATGAAATTGTGGGATGCTCGATGGATAGACATCCTACTTCCCGATACTGCATCTTGATTGGTGGAAACTGGAAATTAATTTCTTTGAAAAATAAAAAACAAGATGTGGTCATCGGATCTAGTGCTTAATTGGTGGAAACAAGATGCTTAATTTCTTATGATTGAAACATGTAGTTAAAATATGGAAGCGTGAAACCCGTCAAACTAATGTGTGACAATTAAGTTGCAACGCGCATTACTTCAAATCATGTATATCACAGCTCCTTTGTGTTGGGTTGAGCCTCTGGTGCACACGAGTAGAAGGTCTAGAACGTTAGGATTGGTTGAGTCACCGTGATTTACAACCTCCCATACGCTCTGTCGGGTCGGGGCGTCAACATATTGTGGTTTATTGTCACTTTATCCGAGAGAAAATTACAAACGGCCAAATCATCACAAATTCTATCAAATGGAAGACCGACTTGCAGATGTATTAACCAACTCTCTTAGAGGACCTATAATGAAATATATTTTTAACAAGCTTGGTGTATATAATTTAAATGATCAGTTATATTAGGCCTTGCCCAACTTGTATAGAAACCCTAGCGCCTCAATTATAGCTATAAATATACACACTTGTATAGATCTTTATTATCGAGTTTCGTATTAATAAAAATCAGTTCATATGGTTCACAAACTTTTAATACTCCCTCCATTCCAATTCAAAGGTCTCATTCACTATTATGCATCAACTTAGCTCTCTTTTATTCTCTAATTTTCTGAATCAGCGTTAATCATATTTAAATTTGAGTTTTGATTTTTTTGTGGTTCAATAGAACTTTGTGCAACGTCAACTATGCAAACTTGAACTATTAATACCTTTTCAATAATATTAGAGGAGAATTAGTAAAAAAAAAGAGGAGAATTAGTTTTAACTTCAGTCAAACTTTGTAATACGAAATGGGACTCCCAAATTGGGAGGGATTTAGCAAGTGTTTGCAGGGAAAATATATCCAATATGTAGATGGAATGTAATAGGCAAATTGTGTTCATGTTAAATGGATTATTACTTGGTACTTAATTTGCATTTTGCTTGTTTTCTTTCATAATGCAGCATCATATTAAGATGAGTAAAGAAGCGAAGGGACGAGGAGAGCAATACAAAATTACCAAGTTGAGGCGTAATGTTGAAATGGATGAATATGACTTCATCCATTGGCGTCGATCAGTGGAGGAAAGAGAGGCTCTTATCCGAGATATTAGCTGGTATTATTCTTTTCTCTTGTAGATAACCCTATCTCTCTTGGGAAGAAATCTAAAGCAAACCTCACCAGTGCAGTAGTGCACCACTCTCCCAGGAATGAAGGGAAACAGGACATGTATTACTATGATACAGGACAGATTATTTGTTCACAAGGTCAGGAAGATCACAACAAAGAAGAAAGAACCTAATAAATCACATAAATTAATCCATTTCTCGTTAGGATAGATGATTTGGTGATTTTATTATATGTTGTTGCTTGTCAAAGTGAAGTGTGACTTGTGCAAGTATGATAATCCCTATCCTACTAGTTTTGGTTTCAGGAATCTAATTTCAAAGCAAGAGGAACCCAATTTTAATATAGCAGACTCAATATTTAAGTACATACTAAATTCTTCACTTGGTTATTTTCTTTGTCAAAGCATTTGTGTAAACAATCTTCTTAGCAGAACTTAAATTAAATAAATACTTTTCAAGGTTCACCCAACATATTGTATTAGACTATATACATTCACACACAAAAATGTTATTAAGTGTAGAAAAGGAGGATAAGTTGTAATACAGAAAGGGAAGAAAAGGACGGAGTTGTCATTCTTTGTTTTTAGTTCTAACTTAAACATAGAAAATGTGTGTATATACTTTGTGTGTGTCTGTATATATTCTTTGTTTTGTGTGTCTGTATGTTTGTTCTATGTTTTAACATAAACACAGAAAACAAAATGGGTCATCCGTTGGAATTAGTGCTGTTTCATTTAATTACCATTAAAAGGCGGGTTCGGGTATCAAGGCGGTTTGTTCCTAAGAGGCGAGGTGCAAGTCTTGAGGCGTATTGAGGCATAAGCCTCAAAATATATAGACATATAAAACTCAAAATAGTTAAATTAGTAACTAACAACTAAAGAAGTAAAGGATATATCCATATGAGCTGTGAAAGTATATTAGAATATACTTTAGAATATGCTTTAGAATATATTAGGAATATACCATATATAGTATTATTGTATAGAATCTTTTATAGGAATATTCTATCTTTGTAATCTATATTTATAGGGCCTTACCCTTCAATGAAAAACACAGAAAATCTTTCCTCCTCTCTTCAATATTATATTTTGTAGTTTATATTTCAACATGGTATCAGAGACTTCCATCAGTTCCATGTTAGTTTAGTTCTTTCTAGATTACAATTAATTTTCAGACTGGATTCTTCTTCAGTCTTCAGATTATTCAGAACCTTCAGACACCAGTATGTTTCCATATTTAGGGATTTCAGTTTTCAGATTCTTCAGTTACTTGAGTTCAGTTTTTCAGATTCTTCAGAAGTCAGAACCTCTAGGCACCATTCTAATTTCCCAGAAAATCAATTAGCCCAAGCTAATTTCCCAGAAAATTCCTTCGCATGCAGTCTGCCCACCAGACCTCAGAAATTTTCAAGACCATAAATATCATCACCACCATACCCAGGCGGTGCGGCTGCATCCGACGACCGAGAAACCAAAGTACGCAGGCCCAGATCATCGCGCGTGAGTTACACGCGCCGTCAGAAGCTTCCGCAGCAACGCACGCGCCGGCGCGTGACGCCGTGTTTCTGGCCGGAGATTTGATCGGAACTAGTCGCCTGACACTCGCCTGAAAATTCTCTACCATGAATACTTTACTTCTCTCGTTCTTTCTTCAGCAAGGGACGGGTGTGGTTGCCTGGTTGGTAGCTGGGGTCTGACATCAGACATATGCTCCGTCTGTGACTTCCGCTCCTTCCTCTGGTTGTTCGCATCTGCTGGGGTCTCGCATAGGATATTTGTGAACGACCAAAGGCTTCTTCACTGATGGTTCGCACATGCTGGGTCTGGCATTAGACCGACACATCTTTAGACCGACACATCCCAAGCTGGATATTTTACTGTCCAAGT